TTTTTGTACTGTTATTGCCTTTTTAATTTTTTGTGATGAAACCTTTTATTTCATAGAAATATTAATTACAGTGTCATTTAGTAATGCATGTCACTTGGGTCAAGTAAGTTAACGCAATTTTTATTTTTAATTAAAGACTACCACTGGATTTTACTTTTTAATTGGATACAGCAGTTTTATAAAGTTAAATATCATTTAATTAGATTAGATTTTATTTTTTTTTTAATTAAATAGTGCTACTTGGGTTTAGTTTTTTGATTTGGTACAATTACATAACATATTGCTGGAATTGAATAAGATATTCTATTCTTATGGAATTAAAACTTGGCGTTAGTTATTGATATCACATATTTAATTACTTTAATACAAAAGCTACACGATACGTATGATTTGGATTGAATAAGGTATTCTATTAAGGAATTATAACTTGGCGCTATTTATTGGTATCAAAACTTTTATATACATGAAACATACAGTTTTAGTTAAATAATTAAAGTTTATTTTCAACAATTAAAGACTGCATTACTTGAGTTTTATTTTTTAATTGTACAATAGTTTTATAAAGTTTTATAAAAAAAATAAAAATATGTATCATTGAGTTATTTTTTTAAATTAAATTCAGAATGGCTTGGGTTATATTTTTTAATTTGGTACAATAATTTTTTGTTCAAAAAGTATGCCTATACTTGACACCTTTTTTTACCTTTTTTTAAAAGGTAATTTTTTTAATAATATGTATATCTACGCTATTATATTGGATGCCAATTTTTAAGATATTAAGGTATGTAAATCAAGCGAATAAAAATTTAATCATAATACCCATACAATGTATTTTAAATATATTATGGCAATAAGCCGCTGAACAATTTACTGTAAATACACTCGACAGCAAAATTAAAGCATCACCCATTCTGATCACTAAAAATAGGCAAATTTTAAGAGAGTGTAACTTCATCAAAAATGATCGTATCGGAATGATCAAAAAAGCATTTTAAAGTTTAAAGTCTCTACTTTCGACACCCATAA